GGGGCTGAGCGGCCCCATCCACCCCCGAGGGTGCGAGGCCCAGAGCGCGCTGGGCCAGCGTCTCCCTCCTGGGTGCCTGACGTCACTTGTCCGCCTTTGGTGCCCATCAGCCAAAAGAAGTTACTCGTCTACGAGCATGAATAATACAACTCGGCTGGATTTTTCCAGGCTCCCAAAGTGAGTTCTCTAAAGAGACGGGACCACGCCGACAAAACCAGAGCAGCTGGCACGGAGCACGGGGTCCCGGGGGGACTGCAAGGGGCCTGCCTGCCCGAGACAGGGTCAGACCCTTGATGCAAACTTGCTGCTTTCAGAGGTAACATGCCCCTTTTCTAGAGACGTGAGGAGTGACAGAGGATGGGAGGTCCCACTGCCGTCCGTGGTCTTGGCTCTCCCACGTCCAAGACTGAACGATTGACTCCTTCATTCGTTGGACCAACAAAAACTGAGCACCTGCTGTGTGGCTCAGCCCTGCCCTGGGCCCTGGGGATCCAGCAGGGAACCAGACAGACGAGGTCCTGCCCTCCTGAGGCTTACGTTCTGGGGCAGGAGGAGCAGTAGCAGCTTTTTGTCAAGAATGGACAAGATGACAGCAGACCAGGCCTAGTGCCGTGAAGGAGACAGAGATGAGATGCGGAGCCCCAGCAGAGAAAGCCTCTTGGCGGAGTTGACATGAGAGGCCAGGCCTTCAGGATGAGGCGGTCTGCCCTGTGAAGAAGTGGGGGGCAAGCCCTCCGTGCGGAACAGCAACTCCGAAGCCCGAGAGGCAGGACAGGGCGTGGAGCAGCAGAGGCACGGAAGGGAGGCCAGCAGGGCTGGGGGCGGCGGGGCGAGAGCGGTGGGAGTCGGGGGATCTTGCCCCCCACGCGGCCTCCTGGCTGCTCTCTCACCTTCTGAAAGTCCCTACTCTTCTCCAAAGTGTGCTCCACCTGCCCCATGAACTCACCCTCACTTCGCTGAATCCGGTCCCTCTGCTCAAAGGAAAACGGAGGGGATTCTTTTTGCGGTGGGGCGTCACTCTGACGTGAGGACTCACCATGGATCCTGCCCACAGCAGGATGGCGTGGGTGAGAGGCTTCTCAGTGATGGGAACAGGGGTGTGTGTCTGCTGGCGGAGGCCCGGAGGCTCCAGGGTCCAGACACCGAGCTGGAGCTCCTACCACCGCAGGCCCACCCTGCTGCTGCTTGCGGGAAGTCACAAATACAGCAAATTTTGGCTGCCAGTCCTTGGCGCTCCCCTTTCCCATTTTCTGCCCCCTTTCACTCCTGGTGCCTCAGGGGGTCCACCTGGACCTCGTGTCCCACCTCTTTCCCCTGCACAACTTGAATCTCTCATTGGCTGCAGCCCTGCTGAACATCTCTCATTGGCTGCAGCCCTGCTGAACAATTAGCCTCCTGACAGCACGCTGGCTCTTGTAGCTTCAGGCGAAGTTCAGCCAGCAAACGAGAGTTTATATTCACAGAGCCTCTCCGCATCCATCACATGATGCCAAAGATGGGGCCGCCTGGTCCAGCCCAGTGTGAGCCCGGCCTGGCTGCCAAGCTTGCTAATAAGTCTCAGCGACAGGAGAGAATTGTCCCTATTTAGACCCTTCCCCTGGGGCCGTGACCAGCACCTAGAATGTGCTCTGTTGTGGGGGGGTACCGTGGCCAGAACGCTGTTTGGGAAATGGCCTGGAACTGTCCCCCTTAATGGTGATGTAGCCAACCCTAACCTGGGAGCTCGGGAAGCCTGCTGTCTTGCGTCAGCGCTGGCCTACTGCTGAACCATGCCACCAGCTCCTCTGTCCTTTATGGACATGAGAGTTTGCCCTACAGAGGACTGCCCCCTTCTCTAACTTTCTACGGCCCTGGGCAAATGGCCTAAGTCCTCCCCATGGCCACCATCGTCCAACCTCGTAGACCCCAATGTGCCCCCCCTTCCCTGCCTTCCAGCCACGCCGGCATCCCCTCTGCTCCTCGGTGAAGCCACAGTCCTCACACCAGGAGACCTTCACTCTTGCTCTTCCCTCCACCTGAAACATTCTGCCCTCACCCATTCGACCCCCGCCTGTCCTCCACATCTCAGCCCAAGCTTCTCCAGACCCCTGGCTGGGTCCAGCACTCTGCCCTCTGCTTTCAGGGGGCCGCTCAGGAGAGATACTGCGTGCCTGATGTCGGCGGTCCCACCTCGCCTCTAACTTTCATGAAGGTGGGACTGTCACTTCCAGGCTCTGTTGCATGTTCCCTGCACATGGGAGGGGCCTCGCGAATGAGCTGCGTGGCTTCCAGCGTGCCCACCCCGGTCCCCGCGCTCTCTTCCTTCTCTCTCCTCCTGCCTCCCTTGTTCTTGGCTTTCCCTTCCCTCCTTCCTCTCCATGCTTTCTATGCATTCCTTCTTCCTTCCTGGGCTTTGACTGCCTGTGGCTCCCCAGCACACTACTGTAGCCCACAGAAAAGCACTCACAGTTATAAAAAGAAGTTGCCACAACTTGAAGGTGTCAGCCTTCACCTAGATCAGCCCACACCCAGGGCCTCGAGGGGGACCCGAGGAGTCTTGTTCCCACTGTAGTCATTTTCTAAGGCCACCATGGCAAGTAGCACCAGCTGGGTGGCTGAAACGAGAAATTTCTCGTCTCCCCATTCTGGAGGCCAGAAGTCCAAAGTTGAGGTATCTGCAGGGTTGGTTTCTTCTGAGGGCTGTGAGGGAAGGATCTGGTCCAGCCCTCCCTCCTGGACTCGTAGCTGGCCATCCTCTCTCTGTCTTCACCTTGTCTCCCCTCTGTGCATGTCACTGTGTCTCAGTTCCCTCTTTTTGTAAGGACACTCGTCATGCTGGCTTAGGACCCACCCTAATGACCTCATTTGAACTTGACTGTCTCTGTAAAGATGCCATCTCCAAGTAAGGTCGTATTCTGAAATACCCGGGTCAGGACTTCCATATCTGAGTTTGAGGGGAGACACAACTCAACCCGTAACACCAACCTTCCATCCACCCATTGCTCCAGCCCTTTTTGACTTAATGAATGAGAGAAAAATAGGGAACCACAGGATACATCATCTTCCAAAGAAATCGAATGGGAGTCTGGGAATGGGGGTGGACAAGACGGGATGTGAAGGGAAAGACAGCCCAGAGTGAGAAGGGAGGGTTGAACCTACAAAGAGCGAAAGCTACGTTCACCGACTTGCCTCGAGGTGCCCCGGCTGTGCCCTGGTCACCTGCGGGTCTCATATCCCAGATCGGCCACTTACTGGCAGCAGGGCCTTCGTCCTCACTTGCTGTGAAGCTCAGCACTGTGCCCGGCCCACAGAAACCCCCGGGCAGGCGGTGTGCTGGCCTCGGTATTATGAGCAGTAGGGGTCTAGCCAAGCCCAGGGGTGGTTCAGGAAGAAGGCCGTGACAGAGAAGAGGCTCATCGCCAGCGACTCAGGCCACACGACTCTGTTCTCATTAACAGCCGTGAAGACAAGGGAACCTGAACAACGGTCAGCCCTCGGCTTCTTCAGCTGTGGCCTGGGGACCGAAGGTGTCAGGCCCAACCGGGCCCCACCGGGCCCCACCCAGAAAAGGCAGAATCCTGAGTCCCTCATGAACCTGGCTAAATCAAGCCTGGTACGGGTGGGTCCCAGGAACCTGAGGTTTCAAACAAGATCCCCCGAGATTCTTCTGCACATTCGTGTTTGAAAACCCCCAGGCCAGAGCACAGGTCCTGGAGCGGCGGAGATGAGTCCGGCCCGTCAGTAGCCCCGACATCCACACAGCCCTGGCGCCAGGTCGGTGCAACCCGCACAACTGTCCCCATCACCAGCTTTCCTTGGATGAAGTCGGAGAGGTGGGCTTGAGCAAATACACGTAAAACAAATCTGTGTCTCATGTTTTAAACCTTCCACTTAGAGGGATGGCGTTGGCAAATCAAGCTTTTTGCATCACAAACTTCACTGCACCCAGACGCTGAGTTCTGGAATGCCCATCCCTCGTCTCTCCACGATTGGACCTCACCCAGTTTGAGCTCAGGCTTAGCTCAAGGTGACCCGTGACCGTAGGCTGGAGGGAGCCCTGGCCCAGTGTCCTGGCTGTGCCCCCATCTCTGCTGTCAGGCACCATGTCCCTTCTTCTTAGGCACCATCCACAGCCTGTTTCAGGAAAGTCTGAAGGCCCACCTTGTCCCCCAGGACCTGTGCTTGTGTCTTATTTCCAAACACTCAGTCCCTAAGGTCAAGGCCGAGATCCTGCCACGTCTTGGCAGAGCTTCCAAACTCTGGCCTACTTTCTAGGGCATCCAGATACCAGCTGTTGCTGAGTTTCACCTGTCACCAAACTCCACCTGCCCCTCAGGACACCTCCAGTGATTCCCCCAAAACAGAGACGGCACACCTGTTAGGAGCACAGCCTGGGTGTCAGCTTGGCTTTGCCACTTGGTAACCGTGTGACTGAAGGCGAACGGACCAGCCCCTGAAGCTCAGTTTGCACCGCTGTAACAGCCCTACTTCATGGGGTGGTTACGAGAACCCGGCGAGGGCACACACATAAAGTCAAGCACAGCGCCTGGCTCGTATAAGGGCTCGAGAAGGCCTGGCCGCTAGGACAGAAGCTCTTCCGTTCTGAAAGCTCCGAGACTCAAGCAGAAGTCCATGCCAAAGCAAAAGCTCCTCCATGCTGCCCAGAAGGTGGCCCTGGTGGTCACTCAGGGCATCACTTTGGACCTTGCAACAAACAGACTTGTGAGCAGCCTTTTTAGAACCCACCTTTCAACAATAATAATAGTAACAATAATGGCCAATACTTAGGCTGTACTCACGAGAAACCGGGCACTGTGCTAAGAGTATTACACATTAGATCCTCTCAGTAGCGTTGTTGGTACTTTATTACCCCCATTTTCCAGATGAAGAAACTGAGGCACAAGGTCAGACGTATTAAGTGTCAGAGTCCGAATTTGAACTCCTGACTTTGCCTGGTTGCAGAACCTGTGCACTGAGCCACTATATTCTGCTGCTTCTCTTAAGTAGTGACATTTAGGAGCCAAAATGCTTACTGTTCCCTCCCTCCCTCTCCTCTTGCTCTAGGCTGCTGGCCCAGGTGCTTGTCCTTAGACCTCGGACTCCTTACCTCCCAGCTGAGTTGGACATCCTGTCAACCCAGGTAGGTCCCCACCTTTCTGTGTGGTGGAGTGGGCCGCATCCAGTTTGGGATGGGACACCTTGTCAGTACTCGGCGAACTGGATGAGTGAACCCTTTCTTAAGGAAAAATAGTCATTCACCTACAATTCATGTGTCATGGATAGGTGTTAGATTTACCTAAAATGGGATGTGTCTGTGGCACAAATGACTACAGATTATTTTTCCAGTAGCTTAAATCAAGGAGTACTGCGTGAGCCAAGCAACGCCTATTTGATGAGGTGGAAGGGGTGTGCCTTCCCCTCTGCATCATCCCTGACTCCTGGAAGCTCGCACAGCGGGGCTGGTGGCTCCGTGAGCCTTAATAGTTTATTCAGGGTGCACAGAATGCATGTCAGCCGAGGGAGCAGGCACATCTCTGCCCTGGCAACAGACATCCCTTCGCTAGATGTAGGTGGAGCATATGGATGTCTGTCCACCGTCACCAGGGAAGTATCATCATCATAGTCCGTGCCACCTGCCTGTAAAATCAAACCACTGAATGAACTGGATAGTGCTTCCTTAAGTCCTTTTTGGACCAGGCAAGGCATATATGTGTATGTGCACACCAGATCTGGGAGGAAGTTTACAAGAAACTCAATGTTTCCTCCCTTCATTTTTTGCATATTAACTTTGCTTTTCATTAAACACTGCCTTTGCAAATCCATTTCCTCACACTAAAAAGGAGGATCCACAGAAAACAGTCTCCCTGAGTTCACCTGCTGCCCTCAGCTGCAGATCTGGTGACCTCGCCTTTAAATACACAATCTCAAAAGGGGAATTTCCTCGGAAGCCCTCAGTGACCAACACAAAGAAAACAAAGGGAGTTTGCAACTGTGAATCACAGTCTCCAGCAACATCCGCACTCATTCACCCAGACAGCCCCGGGGAACAGCCGGCCAGCCCTTTGCTAGACACCACTCTGCCAAGCTGATTTCCTTCCAACCCTTTGCCACCGCTGGGCGGGCTCACCCTCACTCAGAGCCCGGTTCACCCTCTGCCCGGATGCTTGCATCCACCCGCTGGTGTTCTCAGAGCTAAACCATAAACAATTGCATTCCTGTAGTGAATGAAAGGGAAAGTGCCAGTCACCAAAGGAGAAAGGAAGGCAGGAGAATGGGCGTGGATTGAAACAGCTAGAGATAGCCCAGAGCATTTGCATCTGCCGAAGCACAGAGCAAGCTCTTGGACCTGAGAGGCAAGCTAAGTGGGTGCCCTCCTGGGTCTCTGAAAAAAATGAGTCCTCGATTAAATGCCTGAGATTCCCACCACAGCACCTGGAGGTCTGGATTTTTCAGGCATTTAGAAGCCTTGCATACTTCTGGCATGTCACAGTGACGTGGGTGTGGACAGCATCACTGCCAGAGAATGTGCCCAGTGGCTAGCCATTCCTGTTCCTCCTCTGCTGGTACCTATCTGGAGGAGCCCTGAAATGGGGATGTGGTTTTCAAAGAAGATCGGAAGGTAGGTAAGAAGTAATCCAGGTGACCCACAGGGCCATTGGAATATCAGCCTCAGACACATTCAGATAATCCTATATTTCAGCCCAACTTTTATATCAAAAGATTGATCAAATCTAAGGTGCCCACCCAGTAGACCAGATTTCTAGGCAGCTGAATTTCCAGGCTACCTAAGAGGGTGAGTGTGACAAGCATAATCAAGCCAGCCAGGCTAAGGCCACAGCATTCTGCTGGACCACAAAGGCTGTATCCAGCACTTTAGTGAATGAGACCATTCCATCCCTCCAGCCCTCATGGCCCGGCAGTGGGAGGATGAAGGTAAAGGGGGCAGCGTGGTGCATGACAATTCTTACAGTCCCTGCACTCCGGGTGCTATTTTTACATGCCTGTGCCATCAGCCAGCCCTTCTTTATTTCCAGGCAGTCTTTTACTTTCACTGGGATGGACACACAAACACACACACACACACTCTCCACCTCCTCTGGATATAACCTGCTCTCTGCTCCCCAGAATAGAAATCTTGATTCTTACCCGAAGAGCTTGCAGGCTGAGGGCTGCGCCCCTCTCCGGCCGAGGGGAAAGAGAATCCACCCGGTCTGGGCTGCTCTGCGTTGTCACTGTCACTGCGCTGCAGCCCCGAGCTGGCAATCTGAACCTCCCGGTGACTGCGGCTCTGTGTGGGGAGCGGGGATGGGCCGTGGCATGCACATCAGGCTGCCGGTCCGCCTCCAGACACCCTGCCACAGAGCCGGCTAGCAGTCCCGCAGGGCTGGGTGGGAAGCAGGGAGGCAGGCGGGGGCTGAGAAGGTCAGCCTGTAGGTCTCTCTCTGGCTGATCAGCTGAGGGGACCTGCCTTTAGGCACCCGCCCGCACCGACCCCGCCCACAGGGATGCACACAGAGCTCTAAGCACCCCCAGCCCCGGACTGCCAGCAGCAGGCCCAGGGAAGCCGAGCCAGCAGGGAAGGGAGGCAGAGACGGCAGACAGACAGTGGCAGCGACTCTCCTGGGTGTTATTTTAGCGTGGTTTGTCTTGGGGCAAATGGCTGAGCTGAATGGACTACTAGCCCGTCTGAGCAGATTCCTGTTTATTTTGAGACCTCGGTTGGCAGGGAAACAGCAGGTCGTGGCTCAGAGACACTGCTCTGGAATCAGAAGGCTGCTGGACGAGAGGGTGTCCTTTTCTCCCCTGCCTGTCCTCTGGCAGCCCCGCGCAGGATGGAGATATCTGTGTGTGGCAGTGTGTTTGTATGTGTGTCTGTCTGTCTATGCTGTTCCCATTTTGCAAAGCCGCTCAAGGCCATGACCATCCAGTTTAGGGCTGGGGAGGGGCGGCAGAGAGCATTTTCTGCCCGTTCCCACCAGGGGTCAAGCCTGTCCCTGCTGAACGAGGTGAAACATCAGGTGAGCCCTGTTTCAGGGGTGGGGATTTCTTTAATGGACCACGGGCATCGTCTTTATGCCCGAGGCCAGGATGGGGTACGGAAGAGGGGAAGCTGCCTCTGCAAATAACTCTTGGGTGAGAAGGTGAGGAATGAAACTGGACTGAAAGGATACAGATCAGGAGGTGTCTTTGAAGAGACCAAATGGAAACATGATTAATAGTTTCCTGTAACTGATGAAGAGTCCTGCCTTGTGATGCAGGCACTGGAGCCTGGGAGGTGTAACTCTGTGTGTGTGTGTGTGTGTGTGTGTGTTCGCACGCATGTGCGTGCGTGCCCACAAGCCTGCCCACCTGATGATTCATATAGGAGGTACAGGTTGACCTGTTGGAACTAGAAATATTCTCACTGGTCTCTCGCTTCTCTGGGAAGGTGGAGGTGGAACCCTGTTCCCTAAACGCATCAGGGAGCAGTCAGGAAGCCTTCAAATGCCTCCTGAAGGGACGAACCTCGGAGCAGCTCGTCTCCTATGACAGGGCACTAGAGGCAGAAGCATCACATAGCTCCAACAATGGGTGAGCTGTGGTTCTCCCAAAAGGGACTTGAGAGGTACAGAAAAAGTTCATTTCTCCAAACCTTATTGACAGGAACCTCCATGAATGGCCACTTCCACATACTCAAAGGCACTGATAATTTGCTTTAAAAAAATAATAATAATCTTCTTGAGTATCTGCACGATTCCTGAAGACCTTCTGAATCGTAGAAAGAGGAAAATATTTCAGACAGTCTTCTTGATATTGGAGAATTGCTTTGCTACAACCAGGGTGTGTGTGAGCTCTTTTTAACCACGTGGAATGATACATTTTAAAGTTAGGAGACACCCTAAAGACCCTGAGGACAGAGACACGGCTCAGCGTCTCCCCCAGGTTGCACCCCTAGTTAACTAAGTCCTTGCTGGGTCTGAAACCGGGTCTCCTGCCTCAGGCTAGCACCTGTGAGCCTGCCCACACCGTGCCGTTGCACGCTCCTGGGCAGCCCAGCTCTTCCGGGCTCTCCCTCCCTCCCTCCTGAAGGGGGTTCCTGAGACCTTAACCACAGCTTCCCTGCAAGCTGACATGATTACGGTGACAGTCAAAGGTGCCCAAGTGTATGACAGCACCTTGAAAACCAGTAATGCAAGTGTTAAGTCATTCATTTTATTTCTCTGTTACATCTGGTTGTGAAATGCTGTTCAGGAAAAAAAAAAGTCGAAAAACCACACAGCTCTTAGGCAAATATGAGCACTAGCTACTAAAAGAAACCAATTTCTTGATTATGTATCGGGTGTTCAGCAATGGTCCTGTCCAAATGCTGGGAAATCATGATTCCTTAGTTCCTTAAAGTAACTTCTGTAATACAATTCTCCTCAGTATTGAACTTTTTAAAGTTTTACTTTAACATCCCTCAAGTTCTGTATTTATTTCAACATCTGTGTCAAGTACCCAGATTTATCTTTTAAGTAATACACGTTCAGAGGCTTGGAGTCAGGAGACACGATACTGTGAATGCTGTCCAGCCCCTCCGTTATTTAGCATGGGAAGGGGTGGGGGGCTACCTAGTTGAAAAGCCTGGCCTCAGAACAGCCCTCCAGCTCCGGGCCAGGGGATAGTCCATGGGAATAACAGCTGTCAAAGCCACTTATTAAGCATCCACGAGATGCGACAGCCTTTACAAGTAACAGAAACCACATCATCCCTTAAAGCCCTTAGGTCGCTTTTAAAGTCATTTCTGCAGTGATTAAAACCTTATATAGCCTTAAAAACCTGAAAATAGACTTACCATATGATCCAGCAATCCCACTCCTGCACATATATTTGGAGGCAACTCTTAATTCGAAAAGATACATGCGTCCCAATGTTCATAGCAGCGCTATTTACAATAGCCGAGACATGGAAACAGCCTAAATGTCCACTGACAGATGACTGGATAAAGGAGTTGTTGTATATATACACAATGGAATACTACTCAGCCATAAAAAAGAGTAAAATAATGCCATTTGCAGCAACATGAACGGACCTAGAGATTATCATATTAAGTGAAGTAAGTCAGACAGAGAAAGACAAATATCAGATGATATCACTTATATGTGGCATCTACAAAAATGA